TTCCTCTTTGGATGTATCCTCGTCAATGTCCTTGATTTCGATATCTTCCCGGGGCTCTTTGCTTAGCACGTCGGCCTCTTGGCCGAGCAGGTCAGCAATGGCTGATCGTAGCTGGGAAGCTCCATCGGTCTCCTTCTTCCTAGGAGGGGTGTGCGTGTGTGTGTGTGTGTGTGTGTGTGTGTATGTGTGCGTGCGTGCGTGCGTAGCGCCGTATGTGAGTGAAATTTTGTCCAACGATTTCTCCGGAACGAACGAACCGATTCAACTTTTTTTTTTGATCGATGCGTCTTCATGTAACTTAGAACTGATTAGATTATGGAAATGATTGCCTCAGCGGTTTTCCAGTTATCTGCATAAAACATATGAGAAAATGTCAAACAACGTTACTTTTACTGAAATTCGACGATTTCATCTGAAATAACGATGGAATTTGAATCAATTTCGTGTAATCGCTGCGTCATCATATATCTTGAGTGTAATTGGATTTTGAGCGAAGTCTCCTCAGTGGTTTTTTAGTTATTTCAATAAAACTTTCGAATTTTGCAATTTGAAAAAAAGGGAAAATTGGAGAAAAGGTTGGGGAATCTTGGAGTAAGTCAACTTCGAAGTAGAAAACTTTTCAAGTAGATAAACTTTGGAGTTGAGAAAATTTTGAAGTGGGTTCAACTTTGAAGTGGACAAAAATTTTCAAGTGGATTTAACTTTTGATTGGATAATTGGGAAATTTTGAGTGGGTTGCTTTCAGAATTGAAAAATTTTGAAGTGAGGACATTCTCATTTTTTATGAAAACAATTGACTCAGCGGTTTTTTATTTATCCGCATAAAACTTGTAAAAAAATGCCAAGAAGCGTTAATTTCATAGAAATTCGACCATTTTAACTAAGGTAACGATGGGATTTGAATCAATTTTGTGTAATCGATGCGTCTTCACATAACTTGATTCTCATTGGATTTTGAGCGAAATCGCCTCGGTGGTTGTTGATTTATTTAAATAAAACTGTCGATTTTTGCAATTAAAAAAAAGGGAAAGTTGGAAAATTTTAGAGTGGGTTAACTTTGAAGTTGCAAAATTTTGAAGTGGGTCAAGTAAAGTGGGTTTAACTCAAACTTGATTGAAGTATGAGTTAACTAAAATTACAAATGCGTTCTTTGCGAAATCACCCTAAGGGTAATGCCACAATGGATGCAACGCTAACCGCATGCAATAATTATCCAACTCTTTTCCAAATATTTCTGACATTGACTAGCGTTGCGTATAGCGTGTGCTGCATTTACTGTGGCATGACCCCAGCGTTTATTAAATTTGCGAAGAAACTTTTCTTCTATGGGTATTTCCTCGGAGAAATGTGAGAAAAAGATTGAATAAATACATAATAAAAAAATTAATGAAAGAAAAAACAAATGGTCGGGAAGTTATTGGTGCGACCCGTAATGGATCATACCCAATTCCACCAACTCCTACAGGTTATGCGCGAAGCGCGCGACCGGGCCTGATTTTTTTTTTAGTATTTACATCCAAAAAAAATTAAAGACTAGAGTGCGACTGATCAGGCTTGATTGAAGTAGATGTCACCCATTACAGATCGAACCAATAACTTCTCAACCAAATCCTATTTTTTGGTTATTAGAAAAAATTGTATGTAAAAATTGTAATTTAATCCCATCATTTCTTCAGAAGAAAAAATGACGAATTATTCTCCTCTCTGTGATAAATTGAGAGAATAATGAATTTGAGATTTTTTCGCAATTTCCCTATACTGAATTGTTCATGACGAAAACAATATTGTCATCTAAAAAAACTTCAGATTCTATTGAAACAGAAAAAAAAATAAAGTTAGGAATTTTCCGCGAATTCCTTTATTTGATTTCACAAAATCATATTTTCTCAGAACGTTCAAAGAAAAGGTCGTGAGCAGCTTCTCTCCAAAAAAAAAAAAGCTGAGTTAGCAAGAATAAAATTTGGGAAGGATATGGCAGCCAAAAATGCTGCAGAGCGAGCTGAAATAGTTAAGGAAGCGCGAAAATTACTTTTTTACAAGAAGCCTCAGTGCAGGGTTATCAACAGTGCCCTCTTTACCGCTGAGGTCAGTGCAATGGACCACAATTTGAATCTAATTTGAATTTAATTATTCCATATCAGACTTACAGAGAATTGCATGCTCAATTGGCATTCAGAAAGAAGCTAGAGGGTATTGAACTAGAAACTGACAACATTTATGCTGAATCATTGAAAAAAGATACCGAGGATTTTTTCAGAAAAGAGAAGCTAAAGGCGCAAGAACGATTAAAGAGAACTCAAAATTATGCGGTTGAATTGAAGAAACAGTACGTAATAAATCGACAAATTCTTTTCTTTTCCTTCAATCCATTCTCATTGAACACATGGATCAAAAACTTAATTTTTCACCTTAATATCAGTGTTAAAGAAACACGTATACCAAAAATAACCGAGAAAATAACTGAATATTTTTCACAATATGAAAAAGAGACTGGTCACTACCCTTATTCATATTACTACTGAATTTTTTCGTCAATTTTGAATAAATTATAGAATCGAGGATACGAGTAATAATTTGAAGAAATTGAATTTATACGATGCAAAAGCAGATCAACAAGACTTGGAAAATATGCAGAAAGAAGCAAAGATGATTGAAGACTGTGAAAAAGAGCAGGTAACATTATTCTTTCACGACTACTAATTTGCAATCTGCTGATTCTCACGACATTGAGTTTCCATTTCAGATACGGAAGAAAAAGGAATATTTGAAGAAGATGTTTTTGGATCAATTGGAGGAAAAAAAACGTATGGAAGAAAAAATGAAAGAGGAAGAGGACATTCAGAACCGTTCTATTGAAGCGTACAGAAGTACAAGGGAACATCTAACGGAAATAACGAAAAGGAAGTTAAAAGAAGAACAGGACAATAAGATAAAACGCTCTGAGATGCTAGGTAATCAATATTTCTTTCATAAAATTATATATTACTAGCTGTCGTTTCTGGCATTACCTCGGCAATTCCTTCCCTTTAGTTTTTTTCGTGGAATGTTTGGATAAAACTCGCCAATTTTTTCAGAAATTCTAAATTTTCCTCAAGTTTTTCAGCGAACTTCGGAATTGGGGCCATGCAAATATAATGTCACACGTTTTTTGGACTCTTTAGACCCTCTGCTCCCTCCCCTTAGTCTATATTACGTCACAAAATCCACCACCACCACCCTCCCCGTAGGCGAATTTTTTTGTTTCTTCATAAAATTCAATTTGAAAAATAAGAATAAGGAAGAGAAGGCAAATGATTAGATGATCAATTAAATTTTATGCAATGCTTTTTGAGCATTTCACAACTTATGAAATTGGTGCCATAATAACATTCCGAAATTTCCCTTTGAGAATCTCTAGGACAATTTGAAGAACTGAGGAAAGCTCCATTTTTTGTGAAAAAAGGGCACGAGAACACAATTGCTTTAGCAATTTCAGTGATTAACAATTGAAAGAAAATATTGATAATATAGAAGTTAACTCCTCGTTACTCGCATCCACGGTACCGCGCCGATAAAATTCTTCTTTTCTTGTATAACTTCCGAAACAACTCATTAAAACTATCAAAAAATTTGTATGCCTCACTGACTCGAGTAGAAATTTTAGTACTTGGCTGGTCAGGCCCTGGTCCGCTGTGCCGTAGAAAAGATTCGGTCCTGTTACGGTTACCACATCAGGGCCTGATAGGAAATGTAACGCAAAGCATGATCAGGATCTGATAAGGGCCGTGACAGGCGGCCTGGTTTCGCCCTTACCTGGCATAGACTTTGCTACAAATTAATAAATTGCTAAATGAATAATTAAATTGGGCCAAAAATGAATAATAAATAAATAAATAAAGTCCCAGAATAGGCGGGTCGAAAAAAAAAGAAAAAAAATCACCCAGAGTAAGATTTCAACTCGGGACCCGCCGGGTAGTAGTTCTATACCCTATCCACTCGACCACCATATCATTCTTAAAAATGATCGTTTGTTTTGAGTATATCAATAATACTCACAATAAAATTGTAGTATTGAATTAATCTAGAATAATATCAATTAGTATAATTTTCCTGATCATCATCTCCCCTCCCCTGCGATCCGTCCCCCTTTACCATTTCCACCCCGACTCTTTGGTGAAAATTTTCCTAAGTCCCGTACGACATGTCTTACCCAGACCTGATCATTGCCGGATCGGGTTCGCCGTATTGAACTTATAGAATTTTCAAAGTTAAGGATTCCCGGCATACCTTACCTGGTCCTGATCATGGCCGGATCGAGTTGGCCGTATCCGATATACTTAACAACACCCGTGTTCAATCAAAACAGGCTGAAAAAAACCCCGGAATTTCCCTCATCAGACATGCCTGATGTGACTTTAATTTTTCTCTATCACGGTACGCTCAAAAGGCCCTGACTGGGGCTTGATCAGGCATGCCTGCTTAAAGTTTGGAATTTATTGGGAAGGTGAACATGCAATGGTCCCCTTCAGGCCCTTATCTGGCATGCCGTAATCAGATATACCATATCGATACCGGAGCAGGGCCTTCTCTGCCTGACGAAATTTCTACTCGGGAATTTTATCTAAAAGCATATTCTGTAATTTCTAACTACGGTCGAAGCCCCTAATTATAGAAAATTAACTTTTATTTTACCTGGAAATAAAAAATACGGTGCCGTGCCGGAACGCGACGGATCGTATTACAGAAATATTTTACACGGCGTTGCCACACTTTTGGCTACCGGGAGATTAGAAGATTGAAAAGACCTCCAAGCAATTCCACTCTCCGAATGAATCGTGGCAAAGGCGCGCTCAGAATTATATTACGGCGCAGCGCCGCGCTGCGAGTAACCACGTCGGGCAGTTTCAACGTTCATGATTTTCAGCGAAGAAATGTGCCACCGCCTTCGAATCAGACGAAACGGAAGAGAAAGAACGAATTCGGCGAGCAGTGGCTGAGAAAGACAAGTTGGAAGCGGAGAAAGCACAAGCAAAGCGTCAATTTCAAGAGAAAATGCGAGCGGATATCAAGAGATATGAAGCTGAAGCTGCAATCCTGAAACTGAAGCGAGAGCAAGAGGAAAAAAGTCTGATTGATTGGGAAACTCATCAGAGATATAAGAGAGATGAGTACAATAAGCAAATGCAGTTGAAAGCAGCGAAAGAAGAGGAGAGGAGGAAGAAGGAAATAGGTGAATTTCTGAAGAAGCAAATGGTACGGTCAATTAGGTATTTCTACTTTTCGTGAAATAATGGCTGTTCATCGAGAGCCTCATATTTTTATTTCTATTTTTCTCTATTATTCTATTCATCATGGAATTTTGTACAGACGGTTTTGGAATTTTATCGCTGATCACGTACGAATTTTGGACGAAAAGAGTAAATTAATGTCATTACATGATTAATATATTTGTCTCTACTAGTAACGGGAAAGAAAGAAATTTTTTTATTTTTTTTATCGAACACGATTGATTTCCTTGAAAGGTTTCTTCAGTACTTTATACTTATAAGAATTTTAACGAATTGCTGAAGACACCAAAATTGAGATCATCTCTCCGTCGAAATCGGGTCGACAGATTCTTTAAAATTTTCATAGAGAATGTTAAATTTTGTCAAATTTTGGTGCAGAAATATTCTCAAAATTAAAATTGTATGTCATTATTTGACCGAATTTCCACTAGGGCTGATGTTGAATAAATCAAAGAATAATGGTAGAAATTCATATTTGAGGTATACCACTGACAATCGAAAAATTTGATTTTTCAATTTTCGGCCATCCATATCTCGGAAATGAAATGCCTTAAGGCATATCCCTACAAAACACATTTTTCTTAAGATTGTCCCCATGTTTTTCATAGATAATCTTTATAATAGTCCCCAGCTATTAAAAAAAAATCTAATTAGCTAAAAAATCTAATTAAAGTGAGGCATAGGCCAAACGGGAGTTATGGGTCCCCCAAACTCGATTTTTCTATCTTATGAGAAAACGGTTCTTACGATGTTTTTAAAAAACTAATCCGTTGTGACGTCTGATATTTGCAAATTTAATGATGAAACAATTGAAAAATTGCAATTTTTGAAAATTATGAGCATTTTCTAGAAATCATTCATAAACAATTAATTTTCCACCTTAAAAATCGTTTGTTCGAAATTATAATGAATTTATTCATATTCAGAATTTTATCGGAAATCGACTTCATGCCAAAAAAATAAGGTTTTTAAAAATTTAAACAATGTCAATTATTTATGCATAAATAATGAATGTTTAAAAAAATAATTCTGTGCAAAATGTAATTGGAATGATGCTGAATATTCATGACTAGCTGTGTGGCCGGGCAGAATGAGAGAAAATTAAATACCAGGATTTTTGAGAATTCCGGCAAGTTAAAGAAAACATCTCAATGTTTTCGACTTTTCTGTAAACAATCGAGATATTTTTCAATTTCTTGGGAAAAACCTCAAATTTTCTTGAGTTCTCGCATGTTCCTGAAAAGTCGAAAACATCGAGGTGTTTTTTTTTAATTGCAGAAATTCTCAATAATCTGGGTATTCAATTTTCTCTTATTCTACCCGAGAGAACCCGGGCTACATAGCCAGTCAATCCGAATTTGAAATTAAATTGCTCAATTGGAACAAAACAATTGTTTTAAAAACCCGAGAATTCCTTCGAATTTGCTAGAAGATCTAAGAATTCCCTGGAATTTTCGAAAAAATCAGAGAATTTTCTAGAAAATTCACAAGTTCCTTAGAATTTTCTGTGAAACCAAAGAAATCACGTATGAAAAAATCCTATGGAGAATTCGAACATTTCCTATAAGATTTTTCTGATAGGATTTCCTATCGAATTTTCCACAGGAGTTCCTATAGGATTTCCTATAGAATTCCGTATAGAATTTCCTATCAAATTTATGACCCTAATCCTGATCCTTGTGACCGATTGGTTTCGAGTCTCAATTTTGTGTGTTACTTTTATAGAAAACCCTATAGTGAATTCTATAGGAAATCTTATAGAATATCCTATAGGAAATCCCACCAGAAAAATCCTATAGGACATGTTCGAATTCTCCATAGGATTTTTTCATACGTGTTTTCTCAAATTTTTTCGAAAATAGAATTTTTTCAAATTGTTTAAAAGACCCGGGAATTTCCTGGAATTTTCTGTAAACCCAAAGGATTTTCTCGAACTTTCTATGAAACCCAAGAATATCCTCAAATTTTGTGTAAATCTCACAAATATTCTCGAAAATTGCAAAAATATTTTCGAGAATATTCTAGAATTTTGCAGAAAACTCTAGAATTTTCTCGAAATTTCTAGGGTGCATATTAAACCTCTAACCTGATTATTGTTTCTACTTGTTTTCTCACGGGCAAGGATGGCCAATAATATTAGATTTTGACAATATCAAGAAGGATTATCTCCTTCTATTGTTCAAAGTTTAACTATATTTAACAAATTTGAAATATTATAAAATTTAATAACTAAATTTTTTCGATTGATGGTGAATAAAATATTTGATAATATTGAAATGTAATTTTTACTTAACAAGCTAATTCTAAATTTAGGTACTTGATTTTCGATTATGCAAATAATCGTCAATCTACCTACCTAAATTATTGGTTAATAGAATACTTCAAAATTTGAATGTACAAATTGATGGTCTATTTAATATTAAAAATTTTAAGATTTATGCTAAAAATTGACAACTTCACAATTTAACGGAAATTATGATTGATGAATATGCCTATCACTGCTCACGGGGACCGTGAGAAAAAGCTTAGTCAAGTAAGAGAGTTAAACTATGCACCGTAGCGCAATGACTTATAGCCTACAGCCGATTGAGGACCGTAAACTATGTAACAGTAGAAATATCATTGAAATCCCTTCGGTCGTTTTTGCATGAGTCGCGGCCAAAGATTGAGCAACAAATTTATTATATTTGAGATTTTTTTCAAATTTTCCTCACGCAATTTAATTGACCAATTTGATTATAGAAAATGGTTGAATCTATAGTGTGGTCCATACCAAACTATAAAAGATCCTTGGATATCCTTATCTTGTTAAAATTATGATCCAATCACAGATAATCTAAATTTTTAATCTTTAAGGTCTTCCGAGACTCCTCACAATTACGGAATCTCCTTAATAATGCAGACGTTTCTGCAATTTGCTGTAATTTATTGATTTTTCATCACTTCTTAAAACGAGGAGGTATAAATGTAATTTTTTTATCCAGTTTTCACACTTCATCAATTAATTCAGCGAAGAAAATTCATGCGACACCAATTAGAAAATACGAACTTGAAGGAAAGGAGGACGGAGTATCAACTCGTAACTCATTACACAGAATTAATTACCTGATTAATTCTGATTAATTTTCAGGCGGAGCAAGAGGCCATTCGTAAAATGCAGAGCATCATGGATGACGATTCACAAGAGGTACAGAAGGCCGTACAAAGGACAAATGCGAGAGTTCTAGCCTATGCGGAGGAAGTGTTGGAAGAATCAAAAGACGTTAGACCCCTGTTTCCCATCATCAAAGCAATTAAGGTAATGAATATTGCCCTCACAATCAACTGAAATATGCACGGAGAAAAATTTTGGAGAAAAATTACCGAACAAGTCAAGTAATCGTGACGCGAACTCGATTATCAGTATTTTTTCACCCTACATCGGGGGAAAAGTGCGAGAAAAATAGTAAATTTTTCTCCGTTGGTCCGCGAAAATTTACTGAACGTGAAAGTAATTTGCGCCGAAACTGTAAAATTTACCCTGTATTACATCAAAACTTATCCCAATGAACGTAAATCATTCCTCGCTATTGCGGATAAGTTTTCTGTAACGGAGAATGATTTGTTATCGAACGCACTCGGTAAAATTTCACTTCCATTTGGCCCCATGACCTCCAGATGATGGCAATAAAAAAATATCCCACCGGTGTGGGAAATTTTATTGTACACTGAGAGAAAAATCAACAACTCTTGTTTGAGCCAGTAAAACCGTTCGTTGAAAATTACAAAAAAAAAAGATTGTTTTCTTCGAATTTGAAAGTGTCAAACATGAATAATTGCTCTGCTTTCAACAACAACGAAATATTTGACTCAAGAGGCGAATCATTCATACTGCATTTTCAGAATAAAAATATCTTTTATAGAGGGAAATTTATCGAGAAATATTTTGTCCATAAGTTACAAGATTGCTGTCATGTCATTATTATTTTATTTAAAAATTCATTTTTTGTCTATGATTATTGAATACCCGAAACAACAAACTACTATCCCTCATTTCATATAAAGCAATTGAGCAAAATACGTATAGGAGCATCGAATAACCAAGAAGTAGCGCTAGAACTTACATTTCTTGCTTGTTCAGAGAATAAATTTTTTTTCAAAAGTCTAAATCTATTTTTGCAATAAAAAGTTTCAATCTCGGCGGACGCTTCACATGTTTGGCACAAGTAAGACTTGTTTGAGAACTCTGCTGTTTTTCTCTCAATGTATATGAGCAGATCCACGTTAAAACGCAAGGCCAAAAAAGTCGACCTCACGGATTTTCTCGCCAATTTTTTTCCTAAAAGTTGGCCTCAATGCAAACATTTTGAAAAAAAATCACCCAAAAATATTGAAAATTAAGGAAGTTATGATTTTTTGAAAATTTTTCGTTTTTTTCGATGCATATTTTCCGGTGAATTTTTTTTTTCAAGTTTTCAGCAATATCGAATTCGGATTTGGAGGATCAAATCACGGTTTTGCACATGAAATATACATAGAAAAACCTTTAAAATGAGCCGTCATTCGATGTATTCCATTGTTATTTAAGGGTTTTATGCAACAAAACGTGTTTTTTATTCAATCACAATTATCTCAAAAACCTCATTTTTTTTTAATCCGAAATTTTCACCAAAAATCATCAGTAGGATGATGAAAATTTTGGCAGTAATTAAAATCATTACTTCGCAGTGGTTGACTGCATTTTGATGGGTGAAATAAGCATGTTGCTGAAAATCTGAGGAAAATGTTACCTAATTTCCCTTAAATCAAGATATGGGTGCTGAGGATCTCTTTGTCGATTTTTTTCTTCAAAGTAGATCTTCAGATGAACTTTTAAAAAAAAATATATAATTACGGGACTTATGATTTTTTAAAAATGATTTTCTCTTTTTAAATCAATAAACTTACGTGATTTCCTTCCAAGAGAAAGAAATAGTCTTCCTTTCCGGTCATTTTTCGCCACACAAAACCCTCTGATTATGTAGATCCCTAGTGTACCCTCTCATTGAACTGAATGTGGCGGCACACGGCTCTTCCGAAGCACCTGCCTAAACGTTCAGTGTTTTTTGCCGAGACTGACAGTTTCAAAAAAAATCATCGACTACAAATATTCTTTTAGTTAGTGAAGTGATAATAAATTTGTGCAGAACGAAAATTGCAGAAAGATTGACTTCTTTGCTTCGCTTTGTGTGAAGTAACTGAAGAGATCGAGGTTCAACACATTTACCATTCCTAAACGCGTCGAAAATGCCATCTCCCGTAAATTCCTTAATTTTCAACTCATGAACAGCACTTGAAATTTATAATTTGATTATTAATAAGGAGAATAATAAAAGGATTCACTTCAGAGATTTGTCATCATTATTTTCAGCAAGAAACAAACTCAATTTCCTTATCCACTATCTCTCCCATCTTATGACTCTTGGTAAAATCATAAAATCGAATGGTAGTAGATAGAATTATAACGAAAGCTTGTTATTCGCCAGTATTTTTCTGAAAATCCACTCATTCCTAAGATAATTCGACAATAATTCGAAAATCATCTATAAACTCATTGATTAAAAAAAAAATTTTTTTTTAAATCATAACTTCCTTAATTATCGATATTTTCGAATGATTTTTTTTTTTCAAAATGTTTATCTGAAGATTTACTTTCAGGAAAAAAATCGACAAAGAGATAATCAGTACCCACATCTTGATTTAAGGAAAATTAGGTCACATTTTCCTCAGATTTCCAGCAACATGCTTACTTCACCCATCAAAATGCAGTCAACCACTGCGAAGTAATAACTTTAATTGCCGCCAAAATTTTCATCATCTTACTAATGATTTTTGGTAAAAATTTCAGATTTTTAAAAAATGAGGTTTTTGACATAATTGTGATTGAATAAAAAACACGTTCTGTTGCATAAAACCCTTAAATAACAATGGCATACATCGAATAGCGGCTCATTTTCAAGGTTTTTCTATGTATATTTCATGTGCACAACCGGGATTTGATACCTCCAAACCCGAATTAGATATTGCTGAAAACTTGAAAAGAAACATCACCTGAAAATATGCATAAAAAAAACGAAAAATTTTCAAAAAATCATAACACTTCCTTAATTTTCAATATTTTTGGGTGACTTTTTTTTTAATGTTCACATTGAGACCATGTTAGAAATCAATTACGATTTGATGAGCCGGGTGGTCGGGAGGAAAAGTGAGGTTCGGGTTAACGGTTTGATAATTAGCCGGAGGTAATTTGATGAGTTTTCTTTAATAAACAAACTATTATGCACTGAAAAATTACACAACACAAAGTTTAATAAATAGATGATTTCCGAGTGGACTGTATACAACTTAACGAAGAAAGATGATTTGCGATTATAATGTTCGATAATAGTTGCGATGATTTTCCGGCACTTTCACTCGATGAGGTTCGATGGCGTACTAAAGATACGACACGCACGATCGTCCTCGTGCGTGTTCGTCGATGCCCGAAGGTTTCCGCGCGAGCAAAATTCGACATTTAGCCCGACTGAAGGATGATTTTCAACAGACCAACTTTAAGGAAAAAAATCGGCGAGAAAATCCGTGAGATCGACTTTTTTGGCCTTGCGTTTTGACGTGGATCTGCTCATATAAGGATAATTTTTGCATCAATAGATGTTTTTTCTCCGAACAAATCGTAAAATATCCTCCACAAACAGGTATTTCTTCATTGAATTACATTTTGGTCCACGATTACCTTTCGTGCTGTGAAATTTGCCCTGATTTTCTAAATAATTTTTATCCAACTTTCTCTCTGTGTAGATATGCACCAACGATGTGCTGACCATTTAAATGATTGATATTTCTCTTCGATATTGCTCTAGAATTTTAAAAGGGAGAACAGACTTCTTCCTCCAAAACCAACCGAAGAATTTGAACCACTGAAACGCAAACCAAGGGTGAAGAAAATTTGCTCAAATCCCACGCCACCAGAGCAAATCTTCTATCTAGGATGAACTCAACATTTTTCAAGTTTTATTGAACTTTCTAGATGAAATTCTTTAATAAACCACGTTCTTGTTAACCCAGATTTTTCTAATAGTTTTCTCTGAATTTCATTGTCTAATTGCTCGGATTATCATGAATGTCATAATCGAGGCAAGCGCAACCTCACAACTTCCACAAAAAAAAATGAAATAAAAAAATACAGAAACCAATGAAAATAAGCCAAGTCGGGGCTCAATAAAATCACCAAAGATGCAGCCAACGTCCTTGACGTAGGTCAGAGAACATGGAAGATTAGATTCATATTAGGCAGTGATTGCAAAAACTCCGCGCCAAGAACGTTGGTTCTATCTTCACTGATTTTTTATTGAGCCCTGACTTGGTTTATTTTCATGAGTTTCTGTAAGTTTCCATAAGTTTTTCATGGAAGCTGAATTTTTCTAGAAAATTGTCTTTCTCATTTCCAGGAAATACCAAGAAAAGCGGTTCTTTGGCAGTGTTTTTTACAAAAATAATTATTTTTGTTTTTTAGGACGATTTGATTTAGTTTTGTAAAGCAAAGAAATAATTAATTGTGTGTTTGTCTACAAACCCCGAAAATATACTTGCCCACATGTAATTCCCTAGCGGAAATTGGCGAGAGCTGGTGCTCTCGTATATTTCCTTGGGAAGAGAGTCAACGCAAGAGTCAGGCGAGAGCGACAGCGAACAAAGGGGACTCTCGCTCGACTCTCGCCATTTGGAGCGAGACGAGAATGGAGCGAGACCCTTCATTGTACTATCGCTTGTGCTCTCGCCATTTATTGGGAGACGAGAGTGGGGCAAGAACCTTTAGTGTACTATCGCCTGTGCTCTCGCCAATTTCAGATAGACGAGAGTGAGGCGAGAGTCTTCTCTGTACTATCGTCTCTGCTCTCGCCGTTTAGTGGGAGACGAGAGTGGGGCGATAGCCTTTAGTGTAATATCGCCTCTGCTCTCGCCGTTTAGTGGGAGACGAGAGTGAGGCGATAGCCTATACTTTACTATCGTCTCTGCTCTCGCCATCTATAGAGATGAGAACGAGGTGAGAGCCTTCATTGTACTATCTTCTCTACTCTGCCATTTTTAGATATGAGTCAAGTCGCCAAATATTGGTATGGTTTTGTACCTTCAAAAAATGTTAATTTTATTGAGGCTTCACAAATGGTTTTCATATCATTCAAAAGACCTGAAAATTTTTTTTCCATTTTTTTTTTGTTACATTCACTACTTCAATTTTTCAGTTTCTTGAGTTTTGACGAAATTTTTGGATTCAGCAGAGTTGATCATTTTTTTTTTTTTTTCATTTTTTGATATGTATTTTCGACGGACATTTTCCGTTCTTTCGATTGAGCATGATTTCAATTAGTTCACACGATCAGAAATGCCTCAAAAATACATTAATGACAATTTATGACCCTTATGACCCTTGAATATTTACTTCCATGACCTTGAAATTGTACTGGTAATTTAGATTGTCCTTGGATTATTTACCTTCATCTTCATTTTCTATTCCTAACTTCTACAGATCAAGGTCAAAATTGAGGTTCACGAGGGTCAGGTGTGACCTTTGCAATAGAACAGTAAAGACTCTTGTCTGACCATCGTCTCTTTATAAATAGCGAGAGAAGAGGCGATAGTAAAGGGTTTCACCTCACTCTCGTCTCTCTAAAATCGGCGAGAGCAAAAGCGATAGTGCAGTCAATGCTCTCGCTCCACTCTCGTCTCCCAATAAATGGCAGGAGCAGAGGCGATAGTACACTAGAGGCTATCGCCTCACTCTCGTCTTCCAATAAATGGCGACAGCAGAGGCGATAGTACCCTAAAGGCTATCGCCCCACTCTCGTCTCCTGATAAATGACGAGAGCATGTGCGATAGTACTGTAAATTCTTTCGCCTCACTCTCGTCGCCCAGTATAGGCTATCGTCTCACTCTCGTCTTCCACTAAACGGCGAGAGCAGAGGCGATAGTACAGAGAAAACTCTCGCCCCACTCTCGTCTATGTAAAATTGGCGAGAGCACAGGCGATAATACACTAAATGTTCTCGCCTCACTCTCGTCTATCTGTAAATGGCGAGAACATAAGCGATAGTACAGTGAAGGGTCTCACTCCATTCTCGTCCCGCTGCAAATGGCGAGACTCCCCCTTGTTCGCTGCCGCTCTCGTCTGACTCTCGCGTTGACTCTCTTCCCAAGGAAATATACGACTCTCGCCCCATCTCTTCTCCAGCTCTCGCCAAGTTCCGCTAGGTTTCATGAATTTAATTAATAATGGGACATTCCATGTCAACTCAGCCACACCGGATTTTTTTTTGTCTGGAAAAAATCATTGAGTAGGTGCATTTTGAACTACTACATATAGCCAGTGATCATGCAAAATTTCATTGCTCTGCCGCTTTTTGTTTCTGAGATAATCATTACGAAACTTGAAATTTTCAAAAAATCATTACTTCTGAATGGAGAATCTGATTTTGATGAATAAAAAAAGAAAATTTTCGTTTTTTCTCGTACTTCAAGATAAAAAATACTTCAGAGCCGTCAAGAAGCTCCTAGACCGGTTTTTCGAGAATTTTTCGCGTATTCATTTTTTTTTCACTCTAGGGCCGCTCGATATTCGATCAAAATTTTTTTTTATGATAGAGGATGTCCTTATATGATATGAGAAAAATACGCCATAATGGAAGAGCGAAGCAATGCACCGGAAAAAATTTTTTTTTTCGAAATTTTTGGGTTTTTCAGTTTTTAGGGGAGGTCCATTGGTTTTTTTCAAAGAAATCAGTCTGTCAACTATTATTCTTTGTTCATATATGATGGCAAAAGAGTACGCCGTCATGTAGGAGAGAAAGAATGCTCCAAAAAAATTTTTTCTTCGAAATTTTTACGTTTGTCTGTCGTTTAGGAGAGTTCCATTATTGTTACTGGAAAAAGAGTTTGTCAATAGACATTTTCTGTTCTGCTAGAGAGAATAGACTATTGATACGACTATAAATCTTTTCTCAACAACACACTGTGTTTTCTACTAACGAAAAAGTATGTATAAAAAACAATTTTTATTCTTCTATAACAGAACATTTAATATTTTCACATTTTTACATTTTTACAATAAGGAGAAATTCTCCACTCTCTTCGAAGACAAGTTCCAATACCCACTGATGAATTATTTACATCACGATTACTGTCTTCTGCGGGTTTTTCGTTTTGTTGTTGTTTGTTTTTGCTTTGGGAAAACCTCCTCGTTAGCCGAAGCTGAATATCGTTTAATTAACAATTGCTCTCCCGGTATCGGAATAAAACAATGGTGTTTTTGAATGGCTGGAATAGCTTTGGCACTATCAAATCTCTCTCTTAACTCAGTTTTGATATTCTCGTGTTCTGCCTTGGTGAAAAAAAAAAATCAATTCCTTCAAAATTCTTTTTTGACCATCGAAACAAAGCATCTGGCGTGAGGATTGGTTCACCATGAACGATTTGCAAGCTCTTACGTCTCGCTTCTCTCTTAAAGACAGCTCCTACTCCGTCAGAAACTCCTTTACCGTGCGCGGTTACATGATAATGGGCTTCCGGATCTATGCCAAAATCAGTCTTGTGATGCAAGAGATTCGTGATCTGAAAACGATTCTTGTAATGTTGTGCAGCTCCATCGGTGACATAGATAATTTTCTCCACGCTTTCACAGTTTTCTTTCACATGCTGTATTAAAATCTTCTGTATCAAATAAACAGCGGCAGTATCGTCAGTCGTACTGTCCGACAAAACGACTAAACTCCGAAGTTGGATTTCATTTTTTTCGCGATAGTAGTAAGCAACGGGGTGAACTGCACACTGGTCATTATTGTAGTGGAAGGATTGAGCAGCATCTTGAGCCACAAAAGCGTAATTTTCCGAAAAATCACAATACACTAGTACTTCTCCATTATCCAAATTCTCTTTTCGGTGTTTGACAAAAGCCGATTGTTCTTTAGCGATGAAGTGATGGGGCTTCAATACTATCAATCGTTCCATTAGAAGATCAATGAATTCATCCATCGGGAGGGTCTGTGTCTGCAAGGTACACCTGTCAGTACTTTGCCATACGCGAAATTCGATCATTTCCACAACAGAATCAGAGGGAAGTTTCTTCAGTTCACATAATAATGATTTCACTCCAGGACAATCGTTACATTCATCCAGATGACAGGCCGGAGTTGGATTTGTACACATCAATTTTGCTAGACAATCTTTGTAATCTCTGAGTGGACAGGGGGAATCTTGAGTTAGAGTCGCCATATTAATTGCCTCTAGCATCANACCACTAAACATTGTTTAGGTCTCAGCTCGCCAAACTTACTGAAACCGACCTTAGAATCTTCAATCGCATGTTTGTACTTCCGATGAAGGACTTTTAGATTTTCGAGTATCATTCGCTTTTGCTCTACTTTCTTCTCTCCATTGATCTTGATGGATATTTTATCTTTCATTCCTGGCATGACGCGACTGTGCTCTAGGTAAAAATTGTGTACCTTCTCGATGGTTGTGCTGGGTAGTGAATGACCTGCTTTCGCAATTGGTGAAGCAAACACTCCTTTAATTTTTCTCAATCTTTTCGCTCTTGACGCCATGTATCTGGTAGTTCCAAATTCAGAAGCGATTTTCCGCGCACTCCACGACTGTGGATGAACCGTCAAGATTTCCAGGCGCTCACAGTAGTTTTTCAGATCTTTGAATTTCTGCTTCAAACCATCCAACATTTCTTCTAATTCTATTTCTCTCGCAGATCGATACTGCTTAGATGAAGATGGATCAATGTCACTTTGGCCACCTTCCGAATCATAATCCATGGAAGAACTGTTGAATTCAGTTTCATCGTCTGGTTCGTCATCGATTGATATGCCGGAATCATCAAGATGGGAAGATCGACCTGATCTCAGAGAACTGTTCATCACATCCAGACTTGGGTCACATGTTTCGGCNGTAGCATTAAGTTTAACCGTGGGGACAGATGGAGGAATGACATAAGTTGGAGCTCTCGTTGGGCATTGACCACAGATTTTCGCAGACAATGGTAAAAAAGGGAATTTCTCGTGTAGTGTCAAGGAAATCGGACATAAATTATAACCGAGGTGTCCCTTCTCACCAGGAGCCCCCATTGGATTCGCACATCTATCACTCCGCGGCATTCTATGAAATCCGAAGATATCAATTCCGAGAATAAAGATCATTTCTATATAATGAAGGTGAAAATTCCTTACCTAATTGCAAGAATAGAATAAGATAGGAGCTCGGCAATCCATCTGCACAGAATCGTATGGTGATAAAAAATCAATCGAGAAATTGAGGTTTTTTTCTAGAATTAAAGCCTTGGAACCGACTGATGATGATAAATCAATTAATTGATTCCATTTGTTTCTTCCTCTCATTTGTTTGATCATAATTTAGCAAACTTCCGATGATGATAATGTTCAATTCAACTATCTACCCTTCCAGTAAAAATTTCGACGAAAAATTTTTGTTTCGGCGCACTCTTTCTCCGTTACATGATGGTGTAGTCTTGTCATCATATATGAATGAAGAATAATGATTGACAGACTCATTTCTTTTAAAAAAACCGATGGATCTCCCGTAAAAACTGAAAAACCCAAAAATTTCAAAAAAAAAAAAATTCCGGTGCTTTGCTTCGCTCTTCCATTATGGCGTATTTTTCTCCTATCATATAAGGACATCCTCTATCATAAAAAAAAATATTTCGATCGAATATCGAGCGGCCCTAGAGTGAAAAAAAAATGAAAACGTGAAAAATTCTCGAAAAACCGGTCTAGGAGCTTCTTGACGTCTCTGAAATATTTTTTATCTTGAAGTACGAGAAAAAACGAAAATTTTCTGTTTTTATTTATCAAAATCGGATGCTCCATTCAAAAGTAATGATTTTTTGAACATTTCAAGTTTCATAATGATTATCTCAGAAACAAAAAGTGGCAGAGCAATGAAATTTTGGATGATTACTGTCTATATGTAGTAGTTCAAAATGCACCTACTCAATGATTTTTCCCAGACAAAAAAAAATCCGGTGGGGCTGAATTGACATGGAATGTCCCTAATATTAATTATTTGAAAACAGGGTAAAATTTTCTCGCAAAGAACAAAATACCTTTGAAGATCACCTCATTTTTCATTTTTATTTTAAGTTTCCAATAAGTAAATGAGGCGGATATTAAAATGAGTGGAGTATAAGGAGAAGAGATAACATACTCTTTCTCTCTCCCTCCTTCACGCGCGTGGCTGGTTCACACTGCTACCAACTTTATAACTCAAGACTCACTCTTAAGGCTCGGAGATAATGTGAAATGCGAAAATGAAGATAGGTACTGAGTGCTATGCGCGTAACTTTCCTAATATTGACTTGATTGAAAAAGTGGGCAATGAAAAGCTTGTGAGCAATTTATATGATGTACCTAAGGGCATTTTCCATGCCGCTTGTCTCGTTTTTATTTTATTGAATGGGCATGATCTATGTATATAGATACACAACAGCGCTCGGCCTGAGGTGTTGGACAGTCGGAGGCAAACATTTGCCTTGGCCGATACGCTACCGCGTATCTCGATGATCGACGTTATTAATGTAAATCTCACTGCAACAAGGGCTGTTAGGTCTTAAGGAAATCCCATAGTTCACAAATTTATTCGACAATAGTAAGAATTAATTGGGCACTAGTTAGTTTATCATTAACTAACAACGTTTTCGCGACTTATCTCAGGGAGTGGAAAGTTGAAAGGCCCAAGACTGGAGAAATTCGACAGAGAAAGAAGAAAATTAGGCAGGAATATTAATAAATAGTTACTCACTGTTTTCTTGAGAATCGAGTCTTTTCCACACAATATAAAAATAAATAGAAAAGCAACACAAAATATAAATTATGACACAGTATAACCACAAACCACACGATATCGCTGCCGGTCGAAGAATGTCATGCTGGCGACTTTCAGGATTGCCAGATATTTCGGAGGTCTTGTCACCTGTGATCCCCTTCCATATCGCCCAAAGTCGGTGCTAGTATCGCCAGTTTAATGTAATGAACTTCGATAAACTTCGATTTTCAGGTATCGAAAGCTGGCTAAGCCAAACTTGAAATATCAAATTTGGTATATTATATAGGATTAGAGTCTCATCATAACTTATAAGAGGGCAATAAATTAAGTTAAATAGAATTTTTTTCGGAAATCCAAGGGGCCAACTTTTAGGGGCTGTTGTTTTGGAATGTACCTTAAGCAGCTATTCGTCAACAAAGCAAAAATCCATTACAGATCACCCTCTTTTTAAAAATTTATGCTTCCTCTCTCACTTCGGCTGGAGAAATGAAAAGAATGAGAATCGATTGAGCATTTGAATGCACAATGATCTGAAAAAAAATTGTTCTTCTATCATCATGTTGGGGTGATAAAACCCGTAATCAATTTCAACGCGAAGTCAGCGTGATTTGGTTCACAAACGCAATGTGACTAAAAAACAGATTCAACGTAAAAAATTCATATCTCCAGTCATTCAATATTAAGAAATGAAATGGATATTGGAATCGACTGGACATTCAATGTCTTCAGCCCTCCATCTTAAATGGAAAAGGGAGTGTGATCTCTCTATCGGGGAATAGCGCCTGATTGGCTGTTCTTTTTTTTGGATAAATTAAACAAAGCGTCGGAGACAAAAATTTCATTAGTTTTCGTCTCCAAATAACCCTCACGATATGCCACATCTGTTTTGGCACACCCTGTATGACATTGTTTAATACGCGATATTCCATAAATTCTAAAAATTAGGAAGGATAATTGGAAACAGAAAATCATAGAGTAGCGTGACCGTTGGGGTACCCGTTCTGGAATTTTTTATGTACCTCGCCCTCAAAAGACTGGAAGTAAATAAATAAACATCCTCTAAAAATTTCAGCTCACTATTTCAGTTCTAAACCCCCCCCCCCCAGAGCCTTTTTTCCAATACGAATAACATGGGATTTTTATGAAAAATTATAATCCATTTCCCCCTCCCCCTGTTATGTCACTAAAAATTTTATAATCATAGAAAATTACTGATTAAATAAACTACTTTTGACGAAAATTTTTTGTGCGTTGTTCGCATCATACAATAGTGCGATTCTATGGGAACAACGAGGCTTTTGGGGGCGGTTTATGACTGAGATAGAGAACGGAAATTTCAAGATTTTTTTTATTTATTTCGAGTCTTTTGAGGCACGGTACGTAAGAATTTCCGGAACGGATGCCCTAACGGACAGTCTATTATACAGACATTATGCAAAATTATGTGAAATTGAGCACTAAATTCAATATCGAGCATTCCCTTTACGGCGATTATTCAAATATTGAATATATTTGAACATTGAATATATTTGAATAATCGTTTTCTTTTTCAAAACAAATGATTTCGTTTCTACTTTAAGGTTTAACAAGAGCCAGGTTCACATCATTTCACTGATCATTAATAGGTTATTAGGAACGTGGAAATTGGAATTTAAAAAAGTGATAATGTCTGAAAGTAAAGGAAATTCGGCCCCGCCGCCAGGGAAACCGAAACCCCTCCCCCCAGCAATCAATTTCTTGAATGCTGGATTATCTGGAATGGCAGCTACGTGTGTAGTTCACCCCATGGATGTTATAAAAAACCGAATGCAAATGAGTGCGGAGAAAATAACCATCGGAAAGACGATATCGTCCATTTCAACTGCAGGCTTCACGAAATTCTACGCTGGATTGTCTGCAGGCTTGCTGAGGCAGGCAACTTACACCACTGGAAGACTTGGAATTTATAATCAACTGAATGATGTCTGGAAGTAATTATCCCGGTTTTTAATATTTTTGACATAACGAACAGAAAAAACAAGGATTTTAGGGAAAAAATGAAAGATGATATCTCGAAAACGGCACGTATGAAAAAATTTTAGTAAAAAAGCTAGTGAATTCGCCAGAAAATTCTACTGGATTTCTATTGAACTGTCAATTAGTTTTTGGCCGATTGTATTGAATGTTCAATAGAAAATATTCTATAGAAAAATTCAATAGAATTCAGTTTTTCTATACAATTCATTCTATTGAGATGTTTTCTGTAGAATTTCTTCGGCTAAAATTTTCCAAACTTTTTTTGTTTGATTTTCTGGATGAGAAGAAACGAAAAATAGAATGAAAATTAAAGCCGAGACAATTCTATAGAAAACATTTCAATAGAATAAGTTGTAGACAAAAATCATTTTAAAAAATCTATTGACTTTATCTATAGAATATTTTCTATTGAACATGTCAATAGAACCACCCAACAATAAATAGAAAATACCATAGAATTTTAGTTTTAAGGCTTTCGCGGTCATGATTAACGACATTATTGGCTTCCGGATGGATGCCGCGTTTGGTTTCAGCATTGCGCCGACGTTTCGCAAACATTGCAGTCTGCATCTTCAGGGCTGTGAGCTCCGATGTCTGAGGGTAGTCCTTTTATGCCTTCCCCTGTGATGGTGGGGGTAGGGGCAGGGAGGGGGGAGGCAGCCAATCATATGTTTCAATTGATCAGCTGATCAATTAAAAACCGGGAGGACGGTTTTCCAAATAGGATTCACTTGATATCCTTTGTCTCTGTTGAGGTTGTTAGGATTTTTGTAGATCTCTAAGCCTTCTCGGTATTTCCTTTCGAAATATCCTTGAGACTTGGCCAACACTCTGGCTGGATCGTACTCGATCCTATGTCTAGTGTCCATCCAATATTCAGCAAGTCAGACTGTTATAAGTGACCGTATTTGGAACATCGTTGATGTTCCTTGATCCGTGTACTGATCTTCCTCCCGGTTTCACCAATGTACACTTTTCCGCATGAGCAGGGGATCTCGTACACTCGTGGTGCACTCAGAGGCGGACTGCGATCTTTCGCACTCCACAGCATAAAAGGATACTTTGCTTTACTTTAAGGCATAAAAGGACTCCCCTCAGTCATCGAGCTCAGAATCGAAGCTCACAGCCCTGAAGAAGCAGACTGCAATGTTTGCGAAACGTCGGCGCAATGTTGAAACCAAACACGACATCCATCCGGAAGCCAATAATGTCAATACCATAGAATCGTCTAGCGAATTCGCTAGATGTCTCTATTGAATTTTTTTGTGTGGAATTTGCGAATGTACAAACGGGTTTACGTATTTTGATTCATCCATTCATCTAATCATTGAGACGAGTATTTGGAAAAAAAAATTGAAGTCGGTAAAGTAGATGCTAACATATTTTTTAAAAAATAAATTCAGATAAGTTACTAACTATTGGAGCTGTGACGTTTTGAGTTTTACCCGGAGGTAAAACTCGGTGAATATGTCTTTCCTTCGTACTATTACACTGTCTACTGTGCCTTGCACTTTGCACTATTTTATTCCTGCACTGTAATCCTCTGTATTGTCACTTAAACCTCGGCTAACTTCGGCGGTGAGCTCACGGGGGATTCGCTCACTCGGAGAGATGTTTGAAAAGTATGAAGGGAGAAGTTCTCAATAACCACTCGCGTATTTAATCGGTAAAAGGATGGTATATTATTTGATGGTTAGAATACACGACTCGGTTTATTTTGGGTTGGTATAACGCGTTGCTAATATGTTTCGACTTGACTTGGGACTTCGACTCGATTTCTTGGCTGAAGGCCTGAGAGGTCCGCTCGACTCTGCTCCTGATCGTACTCTGGTGCCCTGAGTCCTCAAAACTTGGCAAAGCCCCAATTTGCTGAGCTAAGCAGTCTCACGGTTTTCTTCACTAATACTATTCCGTGCCACCATTGACACAAACTAACACAGTCAAACAGTTCAGGACACCTGAACTGGACTCGCAAAACCATGGGACTACTTACTATGATGTCCAACTGACACCATGGACATGCTATCCCAATGCCGTCATGGGAACGCTTACTAATGTCTGGATGGCAGGAAAGAGAAATCACATTTCTTATTCCTCTCATCCAGCATTATAATAACATTCCGTATAATTATTAAATAAATCGATGTATTGGTCGATCCCAATACGTCACAGAGCCAAAATTTACGATCGTTATAGATGAATTTCACCACATGAATGTAATATTTTGTTTTTATTCATCACCCAAAACTCAAACTGGCACACACATACGTTTAGACATTAAGAGTTTATATCCTTTCCACACGGAGACAAAAGTTAAAGAAAAATTACCAACAAGTAATCGTGGAGCGCAATCCATTTTTAGGTCTTATTCAGCCTGTATCAGTGGAAAAAGGGCGAGACGAATAATGAATTTTTTTTCTACTGACTCCGAACAATTTACTGAACGTGAGGGTAATTAGTGCCAAAACTATAAAATCCATCCGAAATTCTATAAAAAATTGTCCCAGTGAACATGAATAATAGCTCAACATAGCGTAAAATTTCATATTCGTCCGTTACCATCTCCTTCATATCGGTGTAAAGAAAAGTGTCCTATCCGGATAGGGTCTTGTCCGCACAGCCATGCGGGGAATTTTACTGTACGGGGAATAGTAATTTTTTCATCCATAGATGTATGTTTTTACCGAACGAATCGTAAATTATTCTTTGCAATAAGTATTTTTTATTGAGTTACAATTTTGCTGCACGATTACTTTTCGTATAGTAAAATTTGCCGAAATATTTACTAGATAATTTTTCTCCAACTTTTCTATAATCACGGTTCGATTGATCGGCCATCGGTCAACTAACGATCGACTAGCAGTCGATCAACAATTGACCATCAACCGTCGATCGACTAACCATCGACCAGTAATCGGCCAATGATTGACCATCGATCGACTAACCCTCTACTAGTGATCAATCAATGATCGACTGGCCATCGACCAAGTGAACAAGTCGATCTCCTGTTGAGCCACCGATCGATCTGTCGAGGAATTTGCAAAAAAAGAGCAAATTTCCATTAACCAGGAAAAACTGAGGATTTATGATATAAACATAACAGAATTATTGTTCATTTAGGGCTAAAAATGAAGGAACTCCAGGATTCGGAACTTTGGTACTCATGGGGATGGCAGCCGGTTGTGCTGGTGCATTCATAGGAACTCCTGCTGAAGTTGCATTAGTGAGAATGACTTCTGATGGTCGATTGCCTCCAGGTATATCAAACACATTCAGAATTATGAAAAGACCGCGGTGAAATTGCAAACGCTGAGAAATAAGAAATTTCGTATTGCTCTTTACTTTTTCTCGTCTGGGGATTGGCATTAGTCCTTCCCCAAAATTGCAAAAGTGAAAATCACTTGGGAACCGACGTCGGTGGCCGAGTGGATTAGACGCAAGTCTAGTATGCGAAAGGTTGTGAGTTCGATTCCCCGTGGAACCGAATTTTTCAACGGAAGGCTCCGGCGAACGGGAGGTTGCTAATAGAGGAACCGCTTGTACCGGCATGGGTTTTCTATGGTTTCCCCATGCTACTTCTCTGTTCTATACACTAAAATGTAGTATATACTGGAAAGGGCACTGCCATGCTAGGCCTGTAAGCGGAAAACGAGCCAGAGAGAGGTAGATTTTCAAGGATACCTGTCTCACTCTAGCAGGCGTTGCGCATGCGTAGAACGAGCATGTACATGCGAGTTAAAAAGCTTATGTACTCTGAGTGGTGCACACTCAATTGTTGCTATTTACGTCTTGGCGATAATTGTCCCATTGTGAGAATACAAAAATATCCTCTAATCCACGAACAGCTATTTCGTAGAAAATTAGAGGAAAAATCGTGTATTTTGATGTTGTCTTCATTGGATTTCTCATGTATTCTTCATGCATTAAAAAAATTCACAATTACAATATTCTCATTTTTTATTGCAGTATTGGGACAACTAGATATAAACAGATTCCAATTCAACTCCTCGACACACGAGGCATTTTCCTGAACTTGAGAGTCCCTGGAATTCCCTCAAAATAAAACCTATATCATTCAATTTATACTTTCTGTTTCAGGAATTATATTGGACATACCTAAATTTCAAAATCCGAATACTGATGACGATATCGACTCAGAGGATTTCGATACACCTTCAGATTGATTGAACAAATAATCTCTTGAATTGTATATTTTTTTGTATTTTTCCCATGTGGAATTATTTTAATTAAATTGTAAATGGCCCGAGTATTATTACATTGGAAAAAAATGATCAATTCTATGTTATAATGATGCAACAACAAAAATTGAACGCCAATACTGAATTCTATACGTTCTAGAAGGTAAGAAAACTTTTTGAGCGGACGGTACGAGAGAGATAGGTATCCTTGAAAATCGCCCCTCTGTCGGCTCGCGTCAGGCGGATCAGTGCCCTTTCCAGTATATACTACATTTCAGTGGTTCTATAGGAGTGCGAATGCGGTACAGTGTAGAATCCACAGCCGCATGCATAGGGTTGGATAGAGTGCCGAATGGAACCCGAAAAGGAACTGCGAGGCCGTAAAAAAAAAATCACTTGGGAAAAATATTGTTGACGACTAGTGCTATGTTTTTTTTCACTCCCGAGTGAAAAGCCCAATGGCAGTCACGCTGAATAGTATATTTCGATACGAGTGCATCATAAACACTTTTTGTCATTTCAACAAAAAATATCCCTAAAGCGCTGCCTTACGACCGTTATGACAAAAAATATTATTCGACATACGGTCTAAAAGAAAATTTCCTAGCTCATGTGATTGCCACCCTCGCCTTCGGCTCGGGCGCGCCAAATCTGTTTCCATACATTGTGATGAACAATAAGGTTCGACACTCGTAAGAAAAGTGTTCTTTGACCCTTGGTAGGGTAACATTCGCCTTCGCTTTACGCACAAAAAGACCGCATACATACATATATGTATGTACATATATATATATATATTTCTCTATATTATAAAAATCCAAAGCGATATCTGGTGATAAAAATCTGATACTCTAAATTAAAACTCTGAAATTAAGGGTCACAAAGGTCAAAATAAGGGTCTCAATATCTCTCTATACTAAGAGAAAAATTTTCTAATATGTAGACCATATTTACTTGAGATAAGTAAATTATTTTCAATGGTTTAAATCTCAATATCGAAATAGCCGACCGTAGTGGTTGAGTGAGTTACGTGTTGCTCACGTTAATTCAAATCAACCTTCAGATAATACTGATTACATCCCACCGTGGGCCGATAAAATAAATAATAATATTATTGATGCAACTTACTGTAACTTCAAACCAATAATTAATCAAGTGGAGATAAATACATCAAATATCCAAAAAATCATGAATCATTTAAAGGTTAATGAAGATGAATAAAAATAATTAACAACCTTATATTATTAATATCCAAGTCATTTAGTCAATAGACAAAAGCACTGCGATATTACCTCGTAAAAATATGAAATAATGAATTATTACATAATATCTACAGTATATGTTATGCAATAATAATTAAAATACTCATTGCTGAAGCTTCTTATATATATATATTTTTTTTTCTTCTTTTAAATATAAACTTCATCAATTAACTATAATAAAATCAAAAAAAAATTTAAAACTCCTGATAATTTTCATCTAAAAATTAATTAGAATTGAAATTTCAGAAGAAAATCCACAATACTCTATTATGATTATTATTATCATCAACTAGTAATTATATATTACATTATTAATTATTACTTTTTTTTGCTAATATTTAAATGCCTTTTTTTAAAAAAAACATATAAAGCAATACATTTATTACTCTTTTTTTGGCACAATTAAAAACAAATTAAGATCGCATACGACAATGGATACAACTACACTGATAGAATGATTCATTTATTCCAAACGAAATTCGTTAACTATTAACGAATGGTAGAGTTGAATATAACCAAATGAATATTCGTTAATAGTTAACGAATGGTTCACTTGAATGGCGAAAGTCAAGTCAAACAAGGCTCCTCAAATATACATTCGTTAACTATTAACGAATGAACATTTGGTGGGACCGAATAGACCCTAACCTCCAACCAAAACCCATTCGTTAACAATAACTAATCCGTTCTATCAGTGTGAAAACTCTTATAAATATTGTATTAATAAATAAAATAGTGAATTAAGTTTTCACATTAAAAGATTAAACTCGAGAGTCACTAATTGGCCATAAGTTTATTCACAAAAACAATACTCTACATTAAGTTTTTTTAAATTAATTTTTATACATGTATGTATGTATGTATGTATGTATGTATGTATGTATGTATGTATGTATGTATTTTATCGCTTTCTGAGCGGGTTTACAGAGTGCTCTCTTATAGCAAGAGAGTTTTTATATATGTATATATTGTAAATAATTTTTGTTGACTCAATAAAAATCTTGTTGAAAAAAAGGTGTTGCTCCGGCGGACATCCGAGTGCAGCTGCGTTTAGCGCGATTAGTACTTGGATGGGTGACCGCTTAGGAACACCTTCGCCCAAAAATTTCGGAAGGCAGGCACGATGTAGTGGCCTAATGTGGCTCTCTATTCAGTGTGATAGAAGGGCACATTAGGGCCCTGCACAATCGACCGGCTGTACGACTAGGGTTTTCCATGGTTTTCCGTGCAGTCCTAGCCCGAATCGGGTACAGTTAAGAGTAAGTCGGCCCATGGTAACGCAGATAATAATCAGAAGAGAGAAGTGGGAGAGGCAAGGCAGACAAATGGGGAGCCTATAAAATCGTAATGGTAGTAGGAAAGAAATATGAATAAACAAAAAAAAATATTACATATCGAAATATTGCAGCTTCATAACAAAAAAATCATGAAAACAATAAATACTTGAAGATTCGTGGTTCTTCTACGCGATTTGAGTGAACTCATTTGTGACAAAATCATACTTGAGTACAAGAATATTTTAAACCATCAGACCTTTTTCGGGCCACGTAAGTTGAAATGCTTGGGAGAATTAAATAATTGAATAAAAATTACTCGTCTCAAGAAAATATGTTTCAAATATTAAAATTTTTTTCTCCTCAGTGTATATTGCAAAAATCCAAATCTACTTTTGGTGATAAAAATTTCATGTTTGAAATTAAGACTTCAAAATTGAGGGTCAGAAAAACCGACGGCCTGGCGCAGTGGGTAATGGTATTTTATTAATTCTTCATACTAATAAAAAAATAATGAAAAATCAACAAACTTTCCTCATATTTTCTTCAGGGGGGGGGG